AATTTGTAATTGTCACCTTCCAGAAGACAAAGGAGAACACTTTGATATGGGACTTTATTGTAAATTTATCTACTGCAAATATTGTTAACAATGCTGCATTTCCTGAAACTGGAGAGTAACATTGACAATATCCTCTAACAAGTTAATTTTTCATGTTTTGTTTTTAATGGCTCAGTGGTACACATTGTTCTTTCGCAGATCTCGGTCCCTGGGTTCAATTCATGGGGTGCTATCCGTGTGGAATTTCCTCCGGGTGAACAATTCAGGGTCTGCTGGGGAGCAGGAGCTTATACCAGCAAGCAACAGGAACAGGACAGGATACACCCTGGACTGGATACCAGTCCACCAAGAGCAAACAACGCAGACATGGACGCACTTATACCAGGGTCAGTTTTCCCAGAAGCCAATTAACCCACCAGTATGTCTTTGGACTGGGGGAGGAAACTGTAACACTTGGAGGAAACCCACGTGAGCACAGGCTGAACCTACAAACTCTACACATCTAACAATGCTAACCAGTGCTCCACTGTGCCAGCCTGCCTGAAAAATCATTTGATTTAAATCACTGAAGGTTTGGGAAGAATATATCATATACTGTATACATATAGAATTCCGATTCTGCCCATATATTTAACTTGCCCTTTGGTTTAGTACAACATACGCAGAGCATCACTAGAGAATCATAGAAGAGGTCCGACATAAGACACTTGCACTACATGTGTCCTGAGGTTACTGTGGCAGTTAAGTATCTAAAAACACTGCTGGAAGACGCCATCCCCTGTCATTCACAGGATCAGTCCAGGGGATACGAAGTCATCACGAAAGCATAGATTCTTTCCAATAGCTCTAGGACCTTATTTGAACACACTGCCGTAAGCACAAAAATGACAGCGGGCTGTGGCAGCTGCTGAGGTGTCACCCAAACCACCCCCAGCCACTTCTAAAGAAAGCACATTTACAGTGGGCCTGAAGCACAAAACAGATGAAATGAGTAAACAAGAACCACTTATCTCCTTTATGAAAACTACAGTCTGTATTCAGTAACTTCAAAACATTTTAACAATAATTTAATTTTAGATTGTCTAATTTACACTGCATCCTCATCTTACTCCTGCAATCTAGTACACCCTGTTTAACTGCCAGCTTCTGGGTATTGCATATTTTTGGTCAATCAAAGCCTTTTGTAGATGTTTTATATACCAAGCTGGGTGTTATATGATCTTAAAGAGAGTATTCAATAGTTAAGAAAAAACTCACAGCTATATCATTGACATATCATTTACTGACATTATTATATTATCAATATAACTAGGTCCATCTGCTGAACTCTATACTTAGTAATTAAAGTTCTTAAAGATCATATAATACGATGCTAAGGTTGGAAAAAAGGGATATTTTGCTGTAAATCAATATAAAAACTAATTTTAAGAACAAAACATAGAATCAGTCTAATGGCAGAGAACATTCTTTATTTCGTGCTTATAAGAGGTTTAACCACTTCTCAAAATAACTTCACAGCAGCCCCTAAAAGCCTTTTGCTCTTACATTTTATCCATCAACCCTATGAAAATTACAACAGATACATTATTATACCCTGCAGCTTGCTCTTCATACAGAGTATGAAGTACTGACTCACTACTGCTCCAGTTAGCTGCTTTGCATTTCTCAGAATGGTCTTCCACTTCTGAGGGATTAGAGTTACTGTACTCTGTCTTTCAAGACTCCCAGTGTACTCAGCAGTGCAGAAAAAAGGGGGGTGGAGCACACCGTAGCCAGCCAGGGCTGTACAGCTTTCAGATTAATGATCCACACTGAGATACAGGCTCTGAGCTATCAACTAATCTCAAGAATGGTAAGGTACCTAGAGAAGAAAGGGAAAATGATCAGCGCCACTAGCAGACAGCTTCTCTCACCATTGGTTGACAGAAGAAAATGGGCAGCATTTTGTTGAGGCAGCCAGCGGATTTTGTTAATCTTCTCCTCAATCTCCAAACTCTTCAGGTAATCGAACTCGGGCTCATGGCTTTGAAAGGTGCTGTAAACATTGTACTCTCCCTGGCAGTAAGGCTCATTTTTACTCTGGAATTGGAAAGGAAAACACAAAAATGTATGAGCATAAATGAACAGAGTATTGAAGAGAGAGGGTTACAGGGTTATGTCTATGACTGGAAACATACTTTAGCTTTGCAAAGGTCTATAAAATTGCTGACTTTGTAAAGATATGTTATTTTGCACCATGTGGTGGCTATGTATGTGATTATTACAATGAAAGCCTCATGAGCCTTGTATCAGTAGCTGATACACTCTTCTTCAGTACAAATGAAAATAATCATCCTGTGCAGTTGAATCTCAATATCACACAGACATGCTGTGAGGGTGTTTCTGGGGTGTTTTTTTTAATAAAGAATAAGTAATACCCTCTTCCCCTTTACCACATCAATTCATCTCTGCATAGCTCCCTGCCATCTCCTCTCAGGATTTCAGAAAAAGCACTGTGATTCGTTGTGATTCTTTAAAGGTTAATCACTCTTATTAACTGCAGACTAATAACAGCCTTGATCCAATGGAAAACAAATGCTACCCCAACAGTTCCCGGAACTACCATATAACCTCTTAAAACTATACATTAAAGTAAACTAGTAACTGTACCTGGGTGTTAACTGCTTGCATACAATATTGAAAATAATATAGACTGCCTTTTTAAGGCTTTTTTATTTCTATTTTAAATGCAGGATTTTTTTCCTGGAATTGAGGAACCTCTAACATTCTAACAGGAATTCATAATTTCTTGGAATAGCACTCTTTTTGGCACTATGTACTGTAAATAGCTTCCTTCTGTAGCATTTTAATAATTTCTGTTTACTTCACAATTTAAATGTAAACGCATATACAGTACATACAATATATTGCTTGATCGCTGCTTGCTGATTACAAGTGATATGATAATGAATAGCAGATATACAATCCTTGTATATACTTTAATTTTAATTAAGATATACTTCACTTTTAATTAATAAGATTCTTATATAGATTAATAAAAAGATTAAACCCGTATTATTAATTATTAATCAAATCAGCAGAGTTTAGCAAAGCAGAGGTCAGAAATCATAATACAGGTAAAAAAAATGTCCATTTACATTAACAATATTCGTAATGTAATTTGTGTATTTTCTCAAACACTACATGGCAAACATGATTTAACGGGTATTTAGTCAATCCCTGGACACATATGCCTAAGAAAGAAAAAGTTGAAAATGCACTGACGATTTGGTGAAGCACAAACAGTAGAAACACGCAAAACTGGGTAGAAGCAGGAAGGCCTACCTCAGGCTCCCTCTGGAATATAACAACACGACCTCCTTTATCCCCGGTTGCCAGCAGTTCTCCCGTCTGGTTGAACTCAACTGTGGAAATTATATCAGCTGCAAGAAAAAGGGAAAACATCAGCTGTACACTATATTTCACAGCATAATTTTTCTTTATGGTTTCTATGTCACCTTGATGATGACAAACTGGTTGGTGAGCTCAGGTATCACACTGGAGTCACCGATGGGGTGGAAACATTATCATAGAGCCTTTCTTCCATACAATAAAAAAAATCCATCAAGAAATCACGCAAGCCTTCCTGATGTGAATACTATTTCTAAGGGTCTAGCATATTCTAGCTCATAAAAAGCAAGGAGAGGAGAGAAAACAGAGAAGGACAAAGCACTGACAGTTTTCAATTTGTGCTAAAAATAACTTGAAAAAAACAAACTGTCCAGCAAAACGCACACGATCAGCACACCTGCTTGCCTGCAGTTTTTGCACTGCAAGTTCATAGTGCAAACAGCTACAATAAGGTACCAAGTACAGTGTTATTGGTGATGGCAACTCTCACCCGTAACACTGTAAGAGCACAGGCACCCAGCAACGACAAGGTGAAGAAACCCTGGTCAACTCTGGCAGATCTTAGCAGTGCACAGGATTTAAACCTACAATACATGTTCTAGTGTTACAGCCCAACCTGTAACCCAAAATTAAGCCCTTAACCAGTTCAGATACTCAAGCTACCCAGAAGACCCTAAACACTATTTTAAAAAAATGCTCATTATTAGACAACACATGTTGAGTATTCTGACTGAAACCAGGTTTGTGCCAACACTGATGTGTCTTCAGTGCCTCTCAGCTAATTTAATTCTTGGATTAAACACTAATATTTAGGCAATTAATCAATCCATTTCATTTTAGATATTTATAAAGCCTTGATGTTATAAAATGCATGAATCAGACAAGTTGTATCCATTTGCTGGGATGGTATGGTGGTACAGTGGTGAGCTTTGTTGCCATGCGGTACTGGGGCCCTGGGTTCAATTCCTGTGGTTTGATCTTTGTGGAGCTTCCCTTTTCTCTCATGTTCACACAGATTTCCTGGCTCTTGTGTGTGTGTGTTTGCGGCTATGCGTGCCCTGTGATGCACTGGCGTCCCATCCAGTGTATATCTTGCCTTTTACCGGTTGCTTCCTGAACTAGGCCCTGAGCCAGCATGACCCTGAATTGGATAAGCAGTTATTGAAAGTAATGTGATGTGATATCCATCTGCCACTATTGCATGCTTCTGATTACTGTTTGAACAATTAATCAATTTAAAAATGGTCTATCCACCTTTCCACTTTATCCAGGACTAAGTTGCTGGGGAGCGGGAGCCTGTCCTGGCACGCAACTGGCGCAAGGCAGGGTATACCCTGGATGGGACAATCCACTAACGCCAGGGCCAATTTTCCTGGAAGCCAATTACCCTTCCAGTATATTTTGGACTGTGGGAGGAAACCATACCACCCATAGCCGAAACCCACAGCAACAAGAGGAGAGCATATAGACACTAAGGAGATAGCACCCTAAGAATTGAGCCAGGGCCCCCAGTGCTGTGAGACAGCAATGTTGACCACTGCGCCAACGTGCCTCCCATCTGCAAAACAATTTCTATAACAATGCTTTTCATGTAGACGTATATTATCAATAATAATGTCCCCTTGACACATCCTGTACAGTATTAGAAAACATTTTTAAACTGTTTAGTTTTTAATTAAATCATCTAATCTCCTTATACTTTATCCTATACCTGTGACAATATGCCCACTTTCACTCAAAATCTAAGTAGTACTCTTTCCACTATTATCAATTCAGATTAACAGATAACTGTGAGTACAGGATACCTGCTCTACGGAGCAAGGTGACCCAAGGCCGATAGTGGCACTGCTGATCTGCTACCTTGATCCTTGATATCGAGGAGAGCTGATCATCCCAATGTCTTGAACTAAATTCCAATTCATGGCAGCTTGCATATAAAAACACATAAACTGAGCATTCAGAACATCACTATATGTCTGCTGCATGTTTGCAGATAATGTATGATTAAATGCTTCTGTTGTCATTTTGATTAACTGATCAGTCGTGACAGCCCATGATGATACGCTTGAGTGGTTTTGACTGCCGCATAAGAACTGGATTGCCTCATTAATGAGAGCTGACTGAGCACAGGTGATAAGATGATTAAACACTCTAAAAGTCAAGCCTGGAAGAACTCACTTTCCTGGAAAGGTGAGATCTCCTGTTCTATCCTGTAGGAATTCTGAATGTTCCCTGCCAAAAAACTGATATTTACATTCTGCAGGGCAATGTCATTTAATCCTACTATCCTTGAAGAAACCTACTGTAAGTGAAAAGTCTGCAGCCTTAACAGGTTTAAGACCTGACCTTGTAGCCAGAACAGTATTTAATTTTCATTCATTAAGAAATGAAAGCTGGTTGTAACATATGTTTTGTGTGCGGCATCACCACTGTCGCCTAAATAATTCTTTCTGGAACTGAATTATACAGTACTTTTACTAAAACAATGTTATCCCATGATTTCTATAAAGAGGCCTTTTTATGCCATACTAATGGAATGGAATTTATTTTAAGTAATACTCACTCAAGATATTCACACTGCATTTCTAAGGGAGGACCAGGTTTAACTTTCTTAAAAAACAGCTGTTGTAAGCATATTATCCCTGAAAACTACTGGCAGGCAAACACAGCAATTAAGACAGACCAGGTCAGGATGATTTCTGACTATACAGACCTCTAATGCTTCGGAGTGCTGAGCTCTGAGAATACTCTGGAAACCACCCACAGATGGGTATTTTTAGATTAGAGAACCTGCAGGGCTTAGGAAGATACAAACAAGAGATGCTTCAGTTTTTCTCTTGCTCCAAAAACAACTATAATCAGTGTTTCTGTGTGGGTGGGATTCTTCAGAGACTTATCATATCTCAGACAACCTTGTATAAGCAGTCTGCACTCCTACACATTAAATCAGTTTATATATTTTTTTTAAAACTGCCTGTCAGATTTGGAAAATACGCTCATAACTATAAATGCCTCATTTTTCAGCTTTCTGAGTGAATACCAAGAATCCTAAAACACTATTTTAGAAGCTGCTCAATGCATTAGAAATAATTACTGGTCTTTTTTGACAGGAAATGTTAAAATCTTGCTTCCTTTACAGACTTTTGTAAATCTCTAAGCGTTAGTCAATAAAATATAACTACACCCTGTTTATGTACAGTATGTGTGCTCTATACAGTAGATAAAATAAAATGATTCAATGAAAAAAAAACTTAAAGATGAGTACCTTAAAGAGAGACTATCCAAACAAAAATATTTAAATTGTAACCATTCATCCCAAAATAATTTCTACAATAGGAAAACTTTTGTTCCATTTAGCCTGTTCTGTAGATAGTAACTTATTGATCCTAAGATCTCACCCAGCAGTTTCTTAAAAGAAACCAGAGTACTGACTTAATCTAGGCTGAGTAGATTCTTCCATACTCCTGGAGCTCTTTGTGTAAAGACATGCCTCACAGTCTCATTATACTGTAAATGCACTGTCCACTTGTATTCTCTGGTTCATGTTTTATGGCTTATTCTGAATAAGTCCCCTATGCTGACTTTGTTAACGTCTTTCTATTCTAAATACTTGTTTAGGTCACCTCGTAGTCTTTGCTGTTCATGGCCAAAATGGCTCAGCTCTTTTAGACTGTCGCTGTAGGTAATTTCTTTAAGTCTATAAATGTATCTGCCTGCTCTTCTCTGAACTGATTGCAAGAGCAGAATTATCTTTATTTGTAATGTCTTGACCAAAACTATACACAATACTGTATATAAATTCATAACATGTTCTAAAATGTCAACATGATTTAATTCTATTGATTTAAATTCTAAACTTTTAAATACATTGACACTGTTTGGATTTTTGATTGGTCCTGGCACTATGTTGGCTGGTTTTCTTTGCAGCCAAGCTCAAAATCTCCATTGCTCCTTCATGACTTATTTGATTTCCTCTTGTTTTGACTTGTATTTAACTTATTTTTTGGTTAGTCACATAGAACGTTACTCAGCCTTTTCTCAATTAGTTGGCTGTTATTTCTGACTAAACAGCTCTTTCTAGTTGATACATTTATGATGAACAGACTGTGCAAATGACGCTGTATTGACACTATATAAAAACTTTTTTCTGCATTTCTGCAGAGATACAGTTGGTTAGTTTTCAAGCAACACTTGCATGAGGGCATATCTGAAACTCTGAAAATGGTACACGGTTGATACTCTTTAGAAATGCCATTTGACAAGGGCTGCAAAAAATGAATAGTTTGAAAATTATGGCTTGTAAATGAGAAAGGCTGTGACAAATAATGTTTGGCACTGTTCAGTAACCATGTACAGTACCTTTATTCAATATTCAAAATAATGAGAAACACAAAACTTTGAAAAGTTTCAACTTCACTTCATTAACATCTATTTACTTCTTGCTGCATAGTCTTTCACTCTTAAATTTCAGAAAAAAAACATTTCTTTTTTGTACAAAAATAAAATTTTAAATCATGTTCAGAGTTAAATATAAAAAATAAAATAAATAAAACAGGATTCAAATAAGTTCAAAGTTCAAAATAAACTTCAAATAAGTCACTTGAAATCCAACTTTGAACAGCAGCAAGTAAGTAAATGTTTCGATTGAAACGATTCACTCAAACTGATTGACTGTAGGATTTGCTAATATGATCTGCGGTGATGAACATTGATAATAAACTATTTATTATATAATTATTTAGATTATCTCTCTCTCGGCTGCAGTATCATTTAACCGGGTTAACACTGTAGTCTATTCTGATCCTATTTTTATTTCACGAGGAGCTATATACTGTATCACGGTAGTTCACAAGACAAGCTATGTATGGATAGGTTTACAGGACAGGCTATTTGTTTTTAGGCTTAACAATTTTATGTAACCCAACTGATGTACCGCTATGAGAGGGTGAGCGTTTGAAAATGTAAACGAAAAATCGACAACAGAAATATTTGTCTACACATTTTCGACAAATAATCGTTTCAGCCCTACATA